TTATAATTATTTTTTATATTATAATTTATGATTTCGTGTTTCAAACTTTATCATACCCTGGATGTCTACTGGACTCTTGTTTGGACAGATTTAGGTGTTATTCCTAAGATTTACTAATAATTACAGGCCTACAATATAAAACAATGAAAAACAATTTACCGCTTTGACATGCTAAAATCCTGCATAATCAGACCGCCAGGGAGGTTAAGTAATAAATAATTTTAGGATGTGTTTTAGAAATGAAGGGTGTCTAAATATTTCTTATTTGTTGATTTACAATATCAGTATATTAGATTCTCCATCCGTGTACATGTAACTCTGATAAAGGGATTGTAAGGTTTCTATGTAGGACTTCATACCTGGGGGTTAAACATCTCCCATGAACTTGAACTGGTGGGTTTATTAGTTAGTCTGGCATCGATTAGCATGTCTATTTGAATTAATTGCTAATGAGGTATTTATTATAGATTACCATTTTTATGTTTCATATATCTGTTATCAATTGCTCCTTTTTAAATTATTTGCGTCTATGGGCTAGTTATTCCACATTAGATTGGCTGGGTTGGATATCTAGTGATGGGATCCTGCTAATCCAATCAGAAATGCCCTAATATATAGCTGCTAATGAAGTGTACTTGCCGTCCTTCAATAACGCCGTAATGACGAACCGCGTCAGGGCCTGGTCTTTCTGACACTACATATTTAACTAGAGGAGACGGATTTCATGCTTGTCACCAGCCGGTTGTTACTGATTTTAATGTGAGTTTTTATTGATTTTCTTTAATACATTTTTTAAATACTACACTATGGAGGATTTCATTTATTATTTTTTTATCATGCTGGAACATCTGAGATGAGTGCATCGAAACGAATGGAGTACGATATAGGAGGATGTTGAAGGTTGTTTTATCCTATAAACGTTTGTTGACTGTTAACTAACAGTCAATAATTGGGGTGAGTGTTTAGTCATTGTTTGGTGTGTTGTCACGTGGAGGACACTTCATCTATTGGATTAAGGATTTATTCCAACACAAACTTGCTCTGTTTGCACTATTCTGGATTGTGAGAGAGATCCTTCATTTCACTTGGAAAATGTTTTCCGATTATCACCTTTTTTATATTGGACTGTCATATATCAAATTTTCTGTTTATTGATTTTATTGATATGATCAATTGTATGTGATCAATGTGGACATCAGTCCTACATACATTACTCTATTCATTTCACTATTTTTATTATTCACTTCAATTTTTTTTGAATATATTTTTCACTTAATTTTGTTTAATGAATTTATTATTCACTTTATTTGTTATATATGTATTGAATTTGCACTATTTATTTATGCACCCTTTGGGAGGTATTCAGTGCTGTACAGTTTGTTTTAAGATTGGTTTTCATTGGTTAATACTAGGGCTGTGCAAATTAACGATTAATTTCTCGATTAATCGTTAATCTTTTTGATCGATTAAAATTTTTTTGATCGATTAATTTTTTTTTTGAAACTCTCTGCACGAGCGCCAGCCAAGGCATTGGCCTATACACATACAGCACAGCAATGAAGTCATACAATGAACTAGGATCACACTAATCCAGCACGTTATTATTCTGAGTTGCCCCACTCAAGCGGCGGCCATATTGTGTGGGGCACGTGAGATTAATAACGTGCTGGATTAGTGTGATCCTAGTTCATTTTATTACTTCATTGCTGTGCTGTATGTGTATAGGCCAATGTAGTTGGATCTGTATGTGCATTATAATTAATAGAAATTAATCAATTAATCGATTCAAAAAAATTTCCATTAATCGAACGCAAACATTTTAATCATTACCAGCCCTAGTTAATACTGCATAGTCCTGCGTTTTGTTATCATGTGAAGAAGGAGGATGCATTTGCATACTCTTACTTTGAGAGTCTTTTTACACTTTTTGGCAAGGCATCTTCTACTGTCCTGTAAATCAATAATATAAAGCAACGTGCCTTGCCAAAAAACTCTCAGAGGCTTTAGTACTACTTTACTTTTGGTGAAATTCACTTGAAGGCAAAGTTTATAATTTTGGAGCAAAATTTTATCAAACTTACTATGCTCATTGATACTCATAATAAGAAAAAAATAACACATATAAGCAATTTTTTATACATCTAATAGTTATTTTTGCAGTTATTCTTCAAGTTAGCACACTTTTAAAATGAACTTAGAACTCACCAGAATCTGAGTCATCTGGACTTCCAGAGCTTAGAAGGTCTTTTTCTTTTTCGTAGTCACTCTTGCATAAAAGTTGTCCTTCCTTCAACACAAATTCGTCTCCTTTTCGTAGTTGTCGCTCACATACACAGCAACAAAAGCAGCTTAGGTGATATACACATTCCAGGGCACGCATTACAAATTCTGTTGGAGCGATTTTCTCCATGCACCCACTACATTTTGCTGCAAATAACCTAAAATAAATACATAACAGTTACAAATAAAGTTTAAAATGAATGATATTCATTATAGTTTTTATAAGCTTTCTACACAGCTGTACAAAAACTGTGACATGCATTATATAAAGATAACTATAGACCTGTTGTTCTTGTAACAATAAAGGCCCTGATTCATCAAGCTGTGATGCCATTTAAGGTATTCTACACAGTGCCAAAGGCATATGACAATATGAACTGGGAGAGTCCTTTAGGATGTCTTACAGTGTATTTCCATTTTTGTAGCCAGATTGGCTATCACCTACTTTAGATTTGTTTCATGTTCCTATTCACATAACAACCTAAAAAAATATAAAAAATTGCTGTTTACCATATTACATATTTTTCTCAAAACTGTTTTCCATTCTCTGTAATTTCAAGGAGAGGGGTGGGGAGTAAATGTATACCATATTTACCCTGTCTGCACTCAACATAAACACTGTCTATAATAACAAAGGGGTAAAGATTGAGAAGCTTGGCTTATTGCATTGTGTGTTAATGTAAGGAAACTCAGTCTGTTCCCCTTTGTCTTGTGAAAATCAGATGCTAAGAGAACTGACATGGCAATCTAGGTGTAAAGCTTTGTAATCCGAGAAGAAAACAAGCCATCACTCACCTCTCTAGCTGCATTTAATGTGAATTTATTCATTCTCAAGCATCCTCAAAGGTCACAACAAAGACTCTAAAATTAGATTTCAGTTGCTTTCTTACAGCTTACAAACACATTAGAAAAGGATGAAGATTCTGGAGAAGGCAGGAGAAGTGAACAATCTACGCTAAAATAGCTGAACTGGAAAGTGAGCTGAATTGGAGACTTTTTCCATTTTAGCCTAGATTGTTCACTTCTTCTGCCTTCTCCAGAATCTTCATCCTTTTGTGAATAACCCGGTATATGTTTAAAACATGTTGTGTCTTTGCTTATCTCTTAGTGTTATATATACGCTTTACATCTTTGTATGATGAAAGGCTGGCTGCGAACAGAGGACACTATGAAGACGAGTGCTGATATGCTAACATTTTACTGGAGAACCTGGGAGAATAAAACATTTCTGCTTAAACCTGCACCTGCTAGAATGTTCTAAATCTGTCAAAAAATTCAATACAATATGGCAACCTGGAGATGTTCTGTACACAGTTATTGCACGGAACCCCCCAGAAATTGCACTTCCTGCTTCTGTGATTGGCTGACTGATTTTCCTAGAAGTCTGCACTAAGAGACCCAATTTTTGGCATCCCATGCAATAGGAATTTCATTTTTGGTGAGATACCCCCTAAGGATTAATAAATACTAAAGGAATGCAGACACTGCACCTTTCCTTATTAAAACACAGGAAGCCCACCAGCTGATTATACGAACCCAGACCCTTCCAATCAGGAATCATTTTGGAAAGGATATGCTGCGACAAACAGCTGTTTCTTTAGAACAGAAACAGGTAGGAAGCTGCAAAAAAGTTTGGTAAAATTCTTTGCAATGTACATTAATCACCCAGAGCGGATTTATTTTTTTTAGCAAAAGTAGAATTACTCTTTATACATCTAAAATATTACATAAGCATAACTTCCTCCCTCTGTTGGTCATTTTTTTGTAACCATAGTCCATAATTCCTAGTGCAAAAATCTACATTAATTAATAAAAAAACCATGAGAGAGACAGGAAGTAATAGTTACATAGTATTTGAGGTTGAATAAAGACATACGTCCATCAAGTCCAACCTATTGCGTCTTTGCATTTAATAACACTATTTTATATAATTTAAAGCAGTAGCAGATTATTGTACCATGTTAGCCATCAATCGATGCAGAAAGTTTGTAGTTTAACGAATACCTTTAATTTGCTAACGTACATTTTTAAATATGCTAGCTTTTGGGACCTTCCTTAAGCAAAAAGCAAAACATCAGTGCCATTCATAGCCAAAACTCGTATAAATCAGCATCAAAGTTTTAGCCTGATAAAGTATCGGCTCAGCAGTTCAGGTGATATTTGGGGGTAATGGGTGCTTAAGGGTTAATGAACACTAAGTTTTAAGTGATCAATTAAGAAGTTAAAATAAACATAAGTTTTAACAAAGTAAACATAAGCCAACTTTTTTCCTTTTAGTTATGAGTATGTAAAATGCCTGTTGGGTTTATATTGCTATCTAGAGCTCCATTAGAGAGATTTCCCCCAATTATTGTTATGGTGACAACAGTTTCACCAATATCACTGACATTTCTTGAAATATTAACTGGTAAATGCTTAAAATTATCTCCTTTTCAGTTTAACTTTTTCTCTTTGCTGCTTTTTTTAAATTTAGGTTCAAGGTCCATGAGATTAAATAGTTACATAGTTACATAGTATTTGGGGTAGAATAAAGACATACGTCCATCAAGTCCAACCCATATAGGTCCACGCATCATCTCATTCTTAGGGATACTGATATCCCTGGATATTACGGTCCCTCAAGAAATTGTCCAAACGTTTCTTGAACAAATCTACACTCTTGGCTGAAATCACTGCCGATGGCAGTGAGTTTCAGACCTTAAGCGCTCTTACAGTAAGAATTTTTAAAGTCAAAGTGGGTTTGCTGGGCCAGTTCATATGCTGAACAGGGATGGTCTCGATGTTCGAGTCGAACAACAGTTAGACTCGAACATCGGTAGTTCGTGTGTCCAACGAACACATGAACTATCATGGCGTTCAGCAGGCTGTTCACCCCCCAAGTGCCCCTCAAGCCACTGTGCACCGCACAGTGCCTTGTAAAGCCCAGATTGGGTAAAGCAATGCACCTTACCACAGGTCAGGTGCAAGACTTGGTGCACAGTGCACTGTAAGAGCCATGATTGGGCAAAGTAATGACTTTGCCCAATCATGGCTCACAACTAAGTCCTGTCAGGTGCAGGACAAATGTAAACAGATGGGCGGAGCTAGCATTGATGTCACGGCTAGCTCCACCCAATTGTTTTGACAGCACCTGTCAGAATGCCATTCTGTGGCGGGAATGCGTCGAGAGCAGATGGGCATCAGTTTTTTTTTTGCTCATTATTTCTATTTCTTTTTAAAATTTCGCCAAGTCATCGTTGTCGCTGGACGTCGTGATTACGCTGGTGGATCCAATTTTGTTTTTTGTCTTTTAAATAAAAGTCGTCCAAAACATGTCTTTTGGGTTTTTTTTTCAATTAAAGGATTTTTTCAAAAGTGTGGCATCTTTTTTACAATTTGAATTGAACCCTTTAGTGAATGGGTAGGGGTATAAGTATAAGTACCCCTTACTTATTCACAAGAAGGGGGGCCACCTCTGGGCACCCTTTATTAAAGGGGTACCCAGATGTGAATAAGCCTCCCTGCCTGCACCCCCACAACCAAGGCCCCAGGGCTCGTGGGGAAGAACCCTGGAAAAGCACCCTCCCAGTGCTCAGGGTATGTGGCCTGGTATAGCAGGGAGGGGGGGGGCATCAGCTCGTCTCCCCCTTTGCTGCCCTGCCAGGCCTGTTCTCGGATCAAGGGCCTGGTTTACTAATTTTGGGGGGGACCCAATGTTTTTTATCTGGTCTCTCCTAAAATTACCTTAAGGGTCTGGTATGACTTTTGGGGGGAACGCCACGCTTTTTTAAATTTTTATTTAAATGGGGTCCCTCCTAACATTCCTACCAGAACTAGAGGGTCTGGTATTGCTTGGGAGGTGGAACCGCATGCTTTTTTCCCCCTTATAAATGTCATTTTTGCTGCAGTAGGTTCTATACATCATACAGATGTGCCACTTTACAGGCAGTTTAGGGGGACCCCCCAGGCATGATATTTAAAGCATTTTTTCAATTTTATTGTTCACTTTAAGCAATGTTAAAATCACTGCTCCTTTAAAAACTTTTTTTTAAAGTGTTTTTTTCATTGACAGTCCCCCAGGGCAGTACCGATTCCTCATACCCTTTTTATGGTCACTAACTTGCACATAAGCCTTCAAAAAGGGGAAATTTATTTTCTGAGTTCTGGTCCCATAGACTTTTATTGAGTTCGAAGTGCGAATTTGAACTTTTTCCATGTTCTAAAGTTCTACAGCGGCTGAAATCAACCGTACATCGGCTTGCTTCGGCTGGCTTCGACTGCCGTACATAGGCCGAACGGCAGTAAGTGGATAGCTCACATTCAGCTCGGCTATTCTGCTCGGTACCTCCGTGGTACAGAGCAGAATAGGAAATAAATGAAAACAAGTAGAATAGAAAAAAATACATTTTTGGAAAAAAATACATTTTTGAAAAAAAATACATTTTTGAAAAAAAATGTAAAATTTTAATTTAAATAATAAAAAAATATTTTATCATTTAAATTATAAGAGCTGTTGATCTCTCCTCTGATCACTGGACCCGGAAGTAATGTGTATTACATCACTTCCGGTGTCACTCGCTACAGTCTCCGGCTCTTAGAGCCAAGAGATGAAGCTGGGGAAGCAGATCTCTGCTTCCTCAGCTTCTTTTCGGCCCCTAGGTGAAATTTATGGAGACCCCTAAAGTCTCCATAAAGAGGACCTGTTACACCCCATCTGCTATTACATAAGTGGCTTGTTAGCCCCCCCCCCATGTGATAGCAATAGGGTTAGTGTAAAAAAAAAAAAAAAAAGTTAAAAAATTATAAAAACTAAACTAACATAAAAGAAAAAAAAATAGTACCCCACCCCCCACGTGCACGCACATACACACGCAAACACACGTCGGTGCGCCTCCGTGTGAAAACGACAATTGCGCTACACATGTTACATATCGCCGTGAATGTGTGAGCAATAATTCTAGGGCACTGTTAGCACTAAACTGATGAGCGGTAAAAGCGTTTAAAATGTTTCCATGGGACATTTTGGGTATTGACTTTTTTTTTGCGTCTTCACAGGCGAACGCAATTTTAAGGCTTGGCATGTTTGGTGTCTATTTTCCCGACGTGACCCCGCCTTTCATATTTTACCAAAAAATTGGGTATTATGTTTCTGTGCACAACAGCGAGTGGTTAAAGCAAT